CCGACCGAATTAAAAAATAATTAAGTCTTTTATTTCCACAATGGCCGAATAACAACAAAAGCAACCGCTCGACAATCTCGGTGAAACTAATTGATATATTTTGTTCAATAGGTGCGCGTGATGTAGAGTGACAAATAATTGAACCGCATAAAGGACGCGCCCCAGAACAGTTTTGTATGCTACACTTGTGTGTGTGTGTGTGGGGGGGTATTTTTTTATTTTCGTTTTTATTACTCTCTCGTTTTAACGGTTCGCCCTTATATTGGCTAACGGCACGTGAATTGAATAGATTATTATTGTCCGGCTACAGCGGTCGTCCAAGTACGGTCGGGTCCGGGGTTAGACGAAGGAGCCGGTTATTGCGGACGATTTTTATAAACGGACAAGTTAAATAAAATGTAGTATTATCGAGGTACACTGTGTTCCGTTCGGTCAAAACCAAATTGTCTACCGTAAGGCAATTTCATTATAACATAAATTTCATAATAAATACACAATGTGTATAGAACCTCGTGTACAACAAATACGGACTTTGATGTTGCCTAGAAGTTCTGCTACCGCACGTACAGGGTATCCAATCAACGTGATACACCCTGTATGAATCCATATGGCATGACATGCAATAATAATATCGTATTCGTTTGCTTTGGAGTCCTTCAAACCGTTATTATTATTATTAATAATATTTCCATATTATTTTTGTCAACGACCGTATCATTTAGAGCGTTCTGGCTGATCTTTCCCGTATACTTCCCCATAGAACGACAAAGATAAACCGGATTACATGTAGACATATGAACAATATATATAGAAGTTTAATAAACGAATTCCTGAGATAATTTTGAGCATGTATCCAAACATAAAAGAGATTTCGGTAGAAATGTGAGATAAATTGTAAAAGGAGCGCAAGCACTTTTATTTAATTAATTTAAAAAAGGGTATCGTGTTAATATTTGAATACGTTTAAAAATTGTATTTTTATTGTTAAATTCGTACTTTGAAAAAAAACCTAGCGCAATTTTGTTCACAAAATTCACATTGTACGCGTGCACAGAATTACAAATATATCAATTAAAAACGACTTTTAAAAAATATATTTTGGTCGGTATAAATTAAAAAAAATATATATTTAGTACGTTTTTGGTAAGCGTTTAATCACTGCTTTTAATTTGAATATTAGTCCTTGTATGTCACAAAACTGAGCTAAATAAATATTAATTAATTTCCCGCTTCGTCTCGGGGAAGGGATTCCCAAATTGTATTTACTATCAATAAATTGATATTACCTACTGCGGTAACAAGACTTACAAGCATTTTACATACCCATTTAATGATTAATGTGTAACTTTTTTTTTAGAGCATTATAAACATAATTAAATACTTGCGATCGAATTGTTCAACTATTAAGACAAATTTAAAATTACAAGAGCGAAAATATACTTGCATTACTTGTTGAAATTGTTTAACGAACGGATAATATGTTTCTACTTGATATATTAAAATAAATGTGTGTAAATTAATTGTATCTACTCCAAACGTTATCTAACAAAACACCCAACAAACATAAAAAAGATTGCAATTTGTAAAGTTGTGTCAGAGTGTAGAGGCAATTATATGAACCACTAAAAAAGCTATTGGTGCATGTATATATTTTAAACTTGAGCAATTGGGCCTTAACGAATTAACAAGTTTGATTTAAGGTTCATTTTTGTCTTACAAGATATGATTTGTATTTATTTATATAATATCTAATTAACATAATACATTACAAAAGTAACTATTTAGTTTGTAAAGTAACTTAAAAACTATCAAATCAATTTTTAAAATGGAGTGAAACGGGTTTTTTTTTTATCTTAACATTAAACTACTCCAGTTAATTAATTATTCAGTATTATTTTTAAACTGAACTAAGTTAAAACTCAAATCTTCATACTTGAATTGAATGTATAAGTTCTATACCATTAAGCATTATTTGAAAATATCGTTAAAAAGAGTTCTCTTTAAAATTCCATACAAATTATTTTGACCCATTCAACCATGACCACAACTTATAATATAAATGAAATATCAGTTATTTCAATACACGAGTTCTTTGTGAGAAAAAATCAATTTTTAATGAAATTTTCAATGAGTGAAAAAGCATAAATTCTATATATTATTTATGATTAATACCTATGAATAAGCAATTGCAATTAATTAACTGGACTACAAGGTTGGGCGTGTACAAATTCATACATTTTCTTAATAATAATAAATATATAGGTAACATTATTCGCTATGTTTGCTAGAGCTGATTTTACGGTGCCGTTTCATATCTTGTAATGTTTATTATACAGATATATCTACGCGTATTGTTGCGCTTTTTGTTTTTTTTAGCAAGTTCTATTTAAAGGGTTCGTTTGGGAGAGAACTCGATCTCCGGTCTACGTACACCTTTGTCCGTCAACAACGAAGTCCATGACAAAAAAAAAAAAAAGAGACCATTCTTTTTTTATCCGGCTTCATTATTAAAATGGCGTTTCCTTTAGTTATAAATTTGAAACCTTTTGTGTTAGAACGGTATCATTATTATTTTTTACGAAATCACAATTATTATAATAATAATAATTAATTTTTTTATAATTAATAGTCTGTTCGACGATACGGAGCACTTATTAAGAGAAAAACTCAATTTAGTATTAATTTTTTTTGGAAGAAAACAAGAATAATTATACATCTCTACATCTACCTGTACGGGGACTCTGTGAGAGTTATTCATATGCCTTGTAATAAATCATTGTACAACTGAATTTCCGGTTTTCAGATGTCGTGTACACTTCACCCACGAATAAAAACGATACACGGGTCAGCTACCGTTTGCCCTTAACATACATTAGGTACTTAAAGGCAAATAGTAGCGTGACATAATCTATGTATATATGTTATATACATTAGATACTTAGAAGTATGTCGGAGCAGGTTCATAGAGGATCTGTGTGTACATGATAATTATCGGTACAGTCGAATTCGGTATGATTAACTACAGCTTCATTAGCACCGCCGCTCAGACCTTTAGCAAAGCTAATACCGTAGGTATTAATTGCCGTACGTTTTAGGGCCATTGATCACACTTTGAACTACTTAACCGAGACGGAACGGTCTATTGGCCTAATCGTGTGGATGCGTTTGGTGACCGAAACCAGAAAAAAACCGAAAATTAAAAAACTAAAGTTAGAGATCGAAAGCCGATTACGTTATATATAAATATTTCTCACACAACTTTCCAACTGTTAACCAAAAAATTACGGTTCAATTAGTATATGATTTATGTTATAACTGTAGTCCTTACTGTCATTGAGCTTTGATCAATGATAAGAGGGTTTTCATTGCTTAAATATATATTTGACTCGACTTATTTTGACAACGATCTTGAGACATTTTTAATATTATTCCGTTTGAGATATTATTTGGTTTATTTCATTTTGAAGTGTTATTAACAAAAAATATAAACCATAATACTTGACTTGTTGACATGTGTGTGAGTAAACGCTCAACTCGAGTCTGAAGCAGCTCGGGTGTGATGCTACAAAAAAGAAAGGACGGTGGGCGATATGAAGAACTGAAAAATTTATTACATCATTGACATTCTCGCGAATGCTCGTAATAAAAATTACAACATCTTCCAAAGAATCCTAGCGCGTGATGTGCTTCTATTGAAAACGTATTAACTCCACTATACTTGCCTGTGGGTTATACATTTAATGTGTCGTTGGTATTTGACCGGTCAACGGAGCAAGCGCAACGGAATAGGTGGACGTCAAATGATAATATGTTGTGGAAAAATATCAAATAAGTTTTAGAAAACCATTAGGCGTTAAAATTAAAAACAAGCAATGGTTGAAGACAGCGTACAGCATAAGTGCAAGCATAAAAGGAAAAAAATATAGACCATTGTTTTTCGATTGGGTTTTCTGGAACACACGCGGTATTGTGGAAATGCTAACAGGCAATTAGATCCATTGCCGTACAGCTTCAACAAATACTGCTGCCAAATGTGTTCAGAAAGAAGAATTAACTTGCCCAAATGTGTTTACTGTCTTATTTTAGTATATCGTTTTCTAATTAAATGTAGTTTGTCCAAAAATGTTGAACATCCAATTTTCCTGCGACAAAATAAATACCGAATATAGCATAATGTTTTATCATTAAAATCATCAGAATCCTGACCTGTACTTAAAAATGTTTAATGCTAAAAATTAAAATTGGATGGATTTACAAAAAAATAATTAAAAAAAAAGTAAAACCAAAACTTGAACCAAATACCGGTGAAGGAATGGTAGTTTAATTCTATCACTTTGTGTTCATTGACCACTATAAGCTTAAATTTCATGTCACCATTTTTACTATCTCTTTTTTTGTTTATAACAATAAAAATATTTTATTTTATTATCAAACGAAAACGATTTTGTTTCTATTATTTGTTAATTTCTTCAATATAAGACTATAATGACGCTACTATCTTACGAGTTGTACGTTGAGAATAATTAATCCGGGGTAGTTACGGTTCACCGGTAATGAAAAACCGACTCTTAATAAATTATTCCATTTCATTTAGGTTTAAACGGCACTTAACCAATGGCAGGCAATCTTGTAACTGCTCGGGCCGTAGTCAGGGGGATCCGTTAAATAAGTAATGCGATCTAGATGCTCTGCCCTCCCTCTACTTGTACATTTGTTTACGTGTAACCCAAAACCCAATTTATATATATATATATATACAATATATTGGATTTTGCAGCGCTCTTATTGAAAGTAAATAGCTACTTATTAAAAAGCCCAGAAGTCGTTATTAATAACTAAAATAGCGGAACAAATTTCATAATATACATATATATATATATATATTTTTTTTTTTTTAACGGTTGAATGTGTTTAAAACTCGAATAAAGAAAATAATATGCTTCATTTTCATTTAACTTGTACGATTGTGGGTAACCAATAAAAAAACTTTGAAAACATACCCTTTTTATCGACGTCGAACACTGTGGTGTCAGGTGTGTTTCTGACACTTTAATTGTCGCTTGCGTTCAACTGTAAAAAACATAAAATGTTGCTTAACAATCCATTGAACGTCAATACATTGTAATATGCATGTTATAATATATATTTTATTATACATGTATATCGCACAAAATAACTTTGTCAATCAAAGTTAAATCATACACATTTCCAAAAAAAAAAAAATTAACATATTATTCGTTTAATGTAAATAACATAAACAAATTACATTCGAAATTTCACCAATAAACAATAATTGCTTACGCAATCTCAAGGAACATGTTTTTTTTAAATTATATGTACACTTACAATAGTTTAATATACAAGCCGCCAAATGTGTCGCATTTATTAATTATTTTAGTATAAAATTATATACATTTAATTTCTACTGTATAATTCTGTTATAACCCGATCTCGGTAGAAGTTTAAAATACAATTTTAATGAGTTAAGTTATTAAACTATACACAGCAAGTGAAACTAGACTTTCGAAGCCATATAGAATGTGTTATAATTAATTTCAACTATTCGGGCGATGGAAAATATACTTGACAACATTTAAAACAACGTCAAAGAAACTTTAGTAATATAACAAACTAAGTTATGCCAACGATAAACGACCTATGAAATTTTTTCTTATAGTTGCATTTTCTTTACGGTTAATATTATTATATTTTAAGATAAGTACTCTGTTCTACTAAGTAATCATTAAAACATAGATTCATTGTTTATTCACGGTTTGCTAAAAGGGGTAAACGTTTGTTTAGAGTTTTTATTTTAAATTTAATATTTACTATAATACTGTTGATAAGGTTATTTCATAAAATTATAAAAATAGTTTTAAAAAAACCTATGAAAATGATACTTGACTAGTTTAATTTTTTATATTACCAGAAAAAATTATATTTTTACTTTTGCTCTATCTGAGAAAAAAAATAATGTGATTCGAAAGTATTTTGCTCTGTGAATATTACAGTTTTAACTTTGGGGTGGGGAATACGGTTGTATTAAAACAAAGACATTGCGGCGATACAAAACAAGGGACAAGTGTTTTTCATGTAAAAAATATGGCCACCGCATTTAAGTGTGACGTTTAGCGCTCAATTTAAAAGCTCCAGATATAAAATATGTTTTATTTTTTTATGTTTTACCAGAGGCCATTTCACGTTTTCCACGCACGACTGAAGTGTTAAAACGCGTTAAGTATTTTTTTAAAGTATTTTAAGTAAACCGGGATTATCCCATTACGTATAATTGGATTGTAAATATATCTCGGTAAATTTATTTTAGTCATATTTTTAATTTTTTCCTTAATACGTTTTGCATGTTATTCACATTAATATGGTAAATAGGCTTCCTATAAAGGAAATTTTCGGGAAAACGAAATGGTTCTTTGTCAGAAACCATAATCGTTTCTTGCAAAAATGTGAGTTTTTAAGCATGGTACTACATACAATTTCAACTATTTTATAATTTGTTTACTAGATATTACAACACTTATTGAAATGTTATTACCATCACTACCACAATAATTTAATTTTGCTGTTTAGTATTATTCTGTTTTTTTAACAAATTGTTAATAATAATGTATTGTTAAGAAAAATACACTCATTATATTATATCAATATAAGTTGGGCTGAAGTTTACTTGGAAATATTATCTTAAAGTAATGATTAAAATAATATTTGCATTATATTACAACAAGGTTCAGCTGCTTTCAACGTTGGTTAGTTACTTACAGTAAGGGTACACGTATACTTTTGTTAAACTGCAATAAACATTTTTTCAATGTGCTAACTGAAACAATTGGAAATTTTATATAATAATAAAATGTTATATATTTCTATTTGGTTGGTAGCGGATATTACTATAGATCTAATTTTGCCAAAATATGAAAAATGATCACTCTGAACCCTTAGAAAAGGTAGTTTTGACCTATATTTTGCTGCTTATAATTAAAGAACTGCAGGTAATGAACAATAATATGTTGTGTGTTTTAATTTAATTGGCGAAGTTTAAGAGTCAAATGTTAAACAGGAGGATTAAGTTATGTCTAAAACATATTCATTAGCAAAACACTGTGTTGACTCATTGTTGAGTCTATTTTTGAGAGTTTTTTAGTAAGGAACGGAAAAAAAATAACAGCAATATTTGAAAAATTGTATTACAAACAAATTGTAATACACTATATCGGTAAAATAACTCAGTAGTTAATGAATTTCTACTGATTAAATACTAAGGCGGGCTAATTTAAGCATAAAATGGGACAGTTTCTTTGTTTTATGGGAGTAGGCGAGTTAAAAATGTTATTACATTACAAAGTTCGACCATTAATTTAGTGCGTTCATTTTTAATGAACACACTGTATTTTTCATTGAAAAAACAAGTTTTTTCTACTGTCGGAAGTATTTTGGTTTTTCATTACCTATTAATATTATCACTGCGTCGAAACCGTCGCGTCGTTAAGTGTTTTAACAAAACGTACTGCATTAAAAGTACCAGTTTACTTAAATTATTTTACTATGTCAATGTAAGTGTGTGATTTAATAATGATTGAAATATATCGTTTTCCTCTTTATACTAGTATTAAGACTTTCCAGATTTGCTAGATGGCAAGAAAATACAAAATACTTGCATTTATAAAATAACAATTAATCGTATTTACTTTAAAAAAATGTAGACTGCTGTTTTTAAACTTTTAAATCTCAATTTCCAATAAAATAAACGAAAAACTCTCAAACCATAATACAACGTTTGTGTGCTTGAGTATGAAAATAATCTATAGATCGTTTGTTTGTTTTCCATTAATTTTTTCATCCGCTATTCGTTTTTATTTCCAGGCCTAAGTTACTTTAAGATTTAAAGCTTGTCCATGCTTCCGATTGATCACTACGTATTAAATGGATAATGCCGTTAAATGAAAACGATGAAAATTTTAATCATTCTGCAGCTCCCTCTTATTTAAATATACACACAGCTATTATACCTTTGAGCTTGACCAAAAATAATCACCTACCATAGGGAAAAATGCCTATAAGAGTTTTAATAAAGTCGTTTAAAAATGCAATATATATATTATTATAGAACTTGGATAGTACAGAAGGTTATAATATTGTCTCGTGGTAAAGTTTGATTAAAACTTTGACGTTAAATTTATAGATTAAAATTCATCAATTTTGTATCCTTCGGGAGGGTCGTTAAAATGATGTAATCGCTCTCTACCTCTTGTATGGTTTTCAAAGTTCTTAGGATAGTAAAACATGGTAACAATGATTTTTTATTGTTACAAATCTCTTAACTGTAATTAGATAATTTGGTCAAGAGTTAGTGGGATAGGAGAACAAAAAACCGCGTACGGCCAAAATGGGTGGGTGTGGATAAAAATAGAAACAAATCGAATAAAAATAAAACAATTAGTCAGTGTAATAACATAGGAGGTAAGAACACACGGAATAACCTTTTTAAGGCTGTGGGTAGAAGCCTAGTAAACTCGAACTTAAAAAAAGAAGAGAACTACTTTCTCGTTGACTTATTTATAGTAAAGGCGAACTTGGTAATGTTTTTACAACTAAAAGGTCTCCACTTAAGACACATTCAGTATTTTTAATTAACAATTTTTTGCTTCTTTATTGATCCTTTTTGCGTTTTTTTTATCATTTTTGTGTTTTAAAACACAGAGGAAACCGTATAAACGGAAAACTTTCCTATGTTGTTTTCAATTACTATAGTACTAAAAACTGTTAACTGTAAAAAAAATAGATTAAAAATATTTATGGAAAATATTCAATTTTAAGACTTTTCCGCACACTGTGCAATGTGCATGAATAGCATTGTTAGTAGTTTTCTTATCGTTAAATTAGATTAGATTATACTTATTGCGTTTATAATCTGAATTGGACAATTAGCAACAAAATGTACAAATTTGTATAGATAATAAGGAATTATGTACTATAGCTTTCAAATGCGTCGAGGGCGAACGAAATCGTCTCCTTGCTTATCTGGCTAATCAAATAATTGAGAGCTGTACTAATTATGTTCTTTCTTACAAAACTTATGCTGCTTGTCGGGCTAATGACGTCAACAATATTAGTTTGTCTTCTCAACGGCTTTCTTCTCTAAAAAAACCCGGACTTGAGGGTTGCAGAGTTGGATAAAATTTCAAATATAAATAATCTATAAAATAGAACACTGAAATTTTATGCCTATTTTTTAGCCTAAAAATTATTTTTTTGAATCCTAAAAATCCCGGATTTTGCCCAAATGTACAGAGTATATTTACCATTATGGCTAATTTGGCAGAGGTAACACTTTAGCCTAGTCTCCCAGTTTCGCTCTGACACCTTATATACAACTTATATTTTATAATTTTTACAATACATGTGTAAGTAGTTGAAAAACATTGATCGCAAAAGTGATAAAAAATAACAATTTATTTTTCAAAGACATTATAGCCTTATATACGTTTGAGGCTCACATAAGAGTACACGGCTGTGCTTGTGTTTTCACGTATGTTTCAGTTACCATAGAAACAAGTATCTCCTGGATGTTGAGATATGAATATCCTTTAACGATAATTTATAGACGTGAGCCGGGAGCGACGAATGTCCTAGACGTCTACGGTTAAACTTAACGATTGAGTTACGGAATAAGTTAAGCTTGTTAAACCGCAGTTGTTGATACATATAATATATGTTTGTATGTGCTTGCAAAATTCCCATATTTCATAATATGATTGTTCCGTATGAACGAATGGACGAATTTTCTGTCTATGGTGTTCCGAAAGATAAATATAAGTTTATGGTATTTTTGCTACTGTATAATACTGTAAAATTCCATATATTTATGATTTTCAGTATTTTCCAGGGCGCAATCACTTCTCGAAACTTAAATGGAAACGGATAAAAAATCAATAATTTTTCTGAAAATGATGTCTGGTTGATAATCAGTTTTGAATAATTAATTTTAAAGTTTAAATGCAATTATTCATAACTGGTCACTGACTAGTCAACAATTTTAGTCAGCATTTCAAAAGTTA